AATATTCTAATGAAAAATATTCTAACGTTAAGGGGTTTCATATATATTGATATCTGATGGGACAAACCTCGGATAGTTTAAAATAATCCTTATTTTTATTTTTGAAGGAGCAATTGTCTAAATAAACACATATATCGGAATTAATTTAAAAAATAAATAAACAAATCAGTTTGCAAGTCATACACTAATAAAAGAGCACACACTTGTATTTAAATGGGGAAATAAAACATGGTGATATGATTCACTATATAAACTTTCTTCTTTTATCTTGTTGACTGTTACTTTACGTAGACTCCCATATTTAAAAATAAAAGAAAAAAAAAAGATTGAAAATGTAGAAAGCTATTTCATAAAATATGACCTACCTATTACTTAAACAAAGGTTAAAATTTGTAGTTATACTGGCTTGTTTGGTTCAGATTGGGAATATACTCTTAGTATTCCCAAAAAAGTTAAACAGTAAAATACCCAAAATCTGATTTTTGGAATACTATTTCAATATTATTCAATTTTTTAAACCCTTAAATTTGTAATTTAATAAATACCACTAATATTTTTAAAATTATAAAAACACTCCAATAATCCCCAGCTTACAGAATTCCGGCGCACACGCCGTGGGGAAGGAGGTAGCGGGGAAGGGGGAAGTAGAGGGAGCGGGGAGTTGAGGATAGGGGGGGGGGGGAACAGCTCAGATAGTATATGCATAGACTGAATCTGGACGGTAGTGCGTCGATCTAAGACTATTTCACGGGGGGGGGCCAGATCCACGGTGGGCACTATCTGGCCGAGAAAACAGGCAAGATCTAAGGCACAAGGATCTGGCATCGTAACAGTTGGTACGACGGACTAAACAAACCGGTCGTCGTTGTAGCATCAAACGACGACCGTTTCTCCGGCGTCACCGCCATGAGAGCAAATCGCAATCCAGACCCCTCTGGCCCGGTGTGGAAGCCGGCAGATCTGGCCGAGAGTCTGGCCTTGCCGACCAGATCCCCGCGTTGGGATTGCGGCGGGGAAAGGCCATATCGGCGCATGACCCGGTAAGAATCCAGCCGGTCATTGCGCCCCCTAAGAAGTGACTCCAGACCACTGCCCGGTGGTTGGTGGCCAGACTGGGGGTGTTGGAGGGTGTAGGGTGGTTGATGGTATTTTTGTTAACTTTAATGTTTTATAGGGGGTGATTTGTTAAAAAAAACAAAGATATGAGTATTTTTATTAACTTTATAAATTACATTTCACTAACCCACCCAAATTCACTTTTTTTAACGTTTTTCAAAAAAAATAACTTTTTCCAAACCGTAAATTTGAACAAACGGAAGCCACTATTGCTATATATTATTTTATGCATGAATAATAATATTCTTTAATTAGTTCGATCTCCTTTCTTCTTGATTGTGTTGTGAGATGTTACAAGTAAACATTATAATAAGCGGGGCTAGATAGATGTGAGACTGAACAGACATTAGGTCCCAAAAAAATAAATAAAAAAAAAAAAATCAGCTTGGAAAGTGGAATCCCCTTTCCAAACAGAAAACTTCTACGATCCTTTCAACATTTCAACCAGCTAAGTTAGCTAGATCTTCCGCTGGGCGGCTATATATGTAATTTTTTTAATACGTAACAGTCTTAAGAAATGTAAAAATTTCAGACATTTACTGATGAAATTAGAAATAGTTTATTCTAACTCATATATATTAAAAAATCTCTAAAAAAGCATGTTTGAAAATTTTTATCATATAAATTATTATTGTTTACGGCTTCACTTCATAAAATCTTACAATCAATAGTAGGGATAGATGGTTCGTTTCTCAATTTATCGTAAAAAATGTTAAAAAATTTTTATGTTATTTATCCTTTACCATTGGGATTGTAATATAAAGTATTATTCTTTTCGGGGATAGCAATTTTGAATATACTATGAAATAGACGAAATTATCATATATTGATTTGAGAAATTTTTATTGATGGATAATATATAAAAGAAAATACTTTAATTTAATAATGTAGTAAAATAGAGGAAGAGATGTTTAAAAACAAATGAAAAAAGAAGTTGTGTTGATGATTTTATAGAAACGGTGTCTGAACAAATAGTAATTTACAATGGTAAAGTATTACAGATTTTTTTTATTAAATTAAAATAATGGCACTAGATAACTTTCTTTTTTGGATGAATTTGTTTGGTAAAAATAAAAAAATAAAAAAAGTGGCAGACAAATGAATCAAAGATTTAAAGCGTAGGGCCAAAATAGGTACAACAGTCAAAATAAAGAGGACAATGGTAAAACAAACTTCAAATCACCCACGGGGCAGGCCTGGCGCCAAACTCACCTAACTCCGCCGATTAATTGCCGATTACAATTCTCGCAAAGTTAGTTGATTCTTCTCAATTAATTTTGTCTACTTATTTAATGATATTTATTTTCTTCTTCTTTTTTTTTTTTTTTAAACATTTTAAAGGGTGTAATTTTTTTTTTTTTTTCGGAGAGAATCTTACTCTTATTTGAGCATCACTGATATAGAGATATATGGAGATTGAAATTTATAAAATATAGAACTAATAATTCAAGTGCTTTTCTCTTTATGTAACATATGAATTATTTATAATACATTTCTTGCTGTTTGTTAATTACAAAAAATCTTTAAACAGTTTATAGTAAATATCATATGTGAAAAAAGACATGTATAGTAGAATTAGGGTTTTTATTACAGAACACAAGGAAAAATAGATAAATAAAAATTACATGAATGTACTAAATAGGATGATTCTAAGGAGTACTGTAACATTTATTTAGGGGAAAAATAATACCAAAAAAAAAAATATATATTTTTTTTATAAAATATGTATTTTTTTTATGATAAATGAAATATAGAATAATTAAAATTCTGTTATTTTTTTAATAATTTTCGTGGTATATAAAGCTATTTGAAGAATAATAAAGATTACATATATAACCCAACCATTACAATAACTTTTTCTCATAATCTAATGCTGTTAGCTCGTAATTGGTCAGTTTGCAGTTACTATCAGTCGAGATTGTGAGAGAAATGTTGTAAGATTGAATTGCTTGTAAAATGTTAATTTGTTTTGCTCTCTAAAGAATCCCTAACTAAATACAAAAGGAAGGATCACATTTTCCAAAGAAACTTGAGAGGAGTTGTAAATTGTAATCAACTATTTTGAATAGAAAAGGATTGTAAATAATATTTTATTTTAAAATTATTATTAAGTATTTGCATGTTATAAAATATAAGCCCGAGACTGACAACCAGCTAACGGTATACACAAAGTTTTAAAAATAAGGAAGTTGATACTACAAGTAGAAGAAGTAGCAGGACCACAAAACGACAGAGAGCTTATAAAAGCTCTCTTCTTCGCTTGTTCCATATCTTTCACTACTCTAAATCCCCCAACAAGCAAGTCGCCTTCTCCCTCCTCTTCTCGCATACTGACCTATTTTAGCCAAACCTCACATCTCTGAAAACCAACGCCTAAATCTCTTAGACGGCAGACGTTCCGGTACATTTATTTTCTTTTCCTCAAAATTCTTTTTTTGTTTTGTTTTTTTTTTTTTTTTGGTTTTTGTGAATTGTTAACACTTTACTGTGGTTGTGGATCACGAAACGTAATAAAAGAAAAGAAGTTTTGGGTTCTTGTGAAGGGAAATGTGAAAGTTCTTTACTCTAATTGTTGGCTTATCATTTGAAGTGAATGCATTATTTCTAGCTCAAGGTTCTGAAAATCTTAGAAATGAAATTGTTTATTATCTCGGTTAAGTTGGTTGAACGAGTATAACTTTGTGTGTTGTATCATGGTGATCTTAGTTGGCTACTACGGATCTTAAATTGTGGATGGAGGTAGAAAAAAATTCGACATGATATGTGCCCGGTATGGCGGAAACAGTTGATCAGATGCTTGCCCAAATGGGAAAGTGCAAAACAATTAGGTGCTGACCTCGTTGAGGTTCGCATTGATTTTTTGAAGAATTTGTCCTAGAAGTGATCTAGCTATCTTGATCAAACAAGCTCCTTGCCTACTCTTATCACTTACAGGTAATGGCACATTCATTAAAGTATATGTTCTTTTTCGGTGTTTGAATTGAAATGAAGTTTTGATTTTGGTGGGTTAAGGTTTGAGAATCTCTGATTTGAGTTTGTAGCTGAGCGTTGTATGGATTAAAGTATTGAGAATAAGGAAAGAAACATTATGCTTTTTATTTATTTTTACCTTTCTGGATTTGCATAGAATGAATCTCAATTTGTCTCAGTCAAATGGTTCAATTTGACCCAATTATTGGTAGAGTTATCGTGGTAGAAAAATTGCAAAATTGAGGCTCTGAAAGAAATTTCTTTTGATTGGTATCATGTTTCTCTTGTCTGAAGAAAACAGAAAACTTAATTTCAACTCATAGCTTTAGTGAGTAATCAGCAAAAAGTGTAGTCATATTTAGGATCAAATTTTAGAGTTGTACATGAATCCTGAAGTGTATTCAACATTGGGGCAGAAAGCTAACAGTTTTGGCATAACGTTCCTGTGATCGATAAAGTTCAAATCCGTGTAGCTCTTGGCCATAGGTTCTCTTTGGCCAGAGTGAGTCGTGATACTATGCTAAGCATTTCAATCCAACATTTAGGTTTCACTATAAATATATTCAGTCCTCTTCTTATGTTATGGAAAATTTAGATATTTAAATGTTTATGGATCATGCACCTTTCAGACCAAAATGGGAAGTGGTGGTGAGTATGATGGCAACGAAGCCAACGACAAGCATGCACTGCGTTTGGCCATGGAATTGGGAGGCAGGATTCATTGATATTGAGCTCAAGGTTTGGGATTATTTTGTTCAAAACTATCATGGTTGAGTGTACAACATTGTTTTTCCATGACAGTTTCCTGATTATCTAACTAAAGCTTCCATTTTGCCTCTTGAAGGTAGCTCAAGAGTTCTACAATGCATGGGAAGAGGCCTGAAAAAGTCAAATAATTTGTTTCATCCCACATTATGAAAATACTCCACAGTCGTGAGGAGATTGGCAATCTTGTAGCTATAACGGCTACAGGAGCTGAAAATGTGAAGGTTGCCACAACTGCTTTAGAGATCAAGAAAATGCAGAATCTTCAAGTTTAGTTTCACTCTCAAGTAAGATATTTCATGACACATCATTGCCGCGTTTTGAAGACTTTACTTTCTTTTAGATATATGTAATGACTGACACTTAACCAAATTTTGCAGGTCCAACAATATGCAATTGCTATGGCTGAAGGGGTTTGATGTCACGGATACTTTCGCCAAGTATGGGGGATTTCTCACTTCGGTTCAATAGAGGCAGGAAAGTTTTCTGCCCCTGGCAACCAACTATTATGGACTTGCTGGATTTTATACAATTTCAGACAGATAGCTGCTGATACAAAAGTACATGGGTTATTGGAAAACTATTGGCCATAGTAAAGTCCTCATCTTACAACTCTGCATGGGCCCTCGTATTAATGGAATATTCTACCTTTGTTGGTTGATAGTGTTGCTAATTTATCAACACTTACTCATCCCCGACTTTTGTTGTGATACAGGTAACATTCCTGGAGTCCCTTTTTGAAACTTCGCATTACAATTATTGTTAAGTCCAGTATCTATCAGACATGCTACCAGTTCCTGGAATTCTTAGCAAAGTTCAGGTTTGCTTTTGCAGAGCCTGATTTTAAGGTTTTGAAATGCATTTGATTTCGCACATCGAAGAACTTAGAAAGTGATAAATTAAAGCACAATGTTGTATTTTCGAACTGATCCTTTGGGAAGATACATTTTTGTTCCTTTAAGATTCCAATGTCACAACATGCGCTTCTTTTGTCATATATATAACTCTTTATAATATGCAGGTAGACAATTCTCACAAAGGGACGGGACTTAGGTTGCGTGGATGATGATCGATCCCTATGCCAATTACTATCAGATGTGTCTTTTATAATCATTCAAATGTTAGATACAGGTGCTATATGAGCCCAACAGTGTCGCGGGGCAATTGGAGGCAGCGGGGGGTTAATCGAATAGTCGGAAAGGTCATCTTTGACCGGAAATATTGGAAGCCATTAAGTTGTATGAGCTCAGAGACCAATGATGGCCGACCCCCCACCGGAAGTGAATGGGTGCCAAGGGTGACTACTTGGAGCTATTTGCAGAGATTGAAGAGGCCTTACATTACGAGGGTTGTTCCTGGGCTTTGTTTTACAATCAAAGCTATTTAATTTTTTTTTGTATGTACCTTCAAGTTGGTACAAACTACTTCTTCTGTGCAAGCATCAATGGTTGCCCCGCATTGGTTACCCATTAGATGGTGTAAATTATTTTGTGGTCATGGGGAGATGGCGGGGCTGGGAAGGCACTTGCTAGGAGAAGGGATATGAGAAGGGAGCAAGAGTTTGTAGTTGCAAATCGGACAAATGGGGAGATTCTCTAATTTATATACTATTACAACAAAATTTGACATCTTTGTATTTCTAGGCCAGTTTATGATAAGATTCAAAGATATCCAATGGTTGAATTGGGGCATTTTTCTTGAGCACTATCGAGTGATATTGATTTTTTACTTGCTAGCTCATAAGATGACTTGTAATTTCTTCTTTCAGCGAAAGCCAAAGAACTTGCCGGTAAAGTTGGAGGACAAGCTATCACTTTTGATGAATTGAAAGATTTCCATCCAGAAGAAGGAATGATTCTTGCAAATACAACGTCGGTAGGAATGAAACCAAGGATTGAGGACAGTCCCTTGCCAAAGGTTTGCCTCCCTGTAAACTTTTCCATTTTCCATTATCTTTCTTGTTTCATATGGTGAAGTTTACATCTGTTTCCCTTCAAAATTCCAGGAAGCTCTCAAACACTACTCATTGGTCTTCGATGCCATTTACACACCAAAATGGACCAGACTCCTACAAGAAGCAAAAGAGTGTGGAGCTATTGTTGTTTTTGGAACAGAAATGTTCATCAATCAAGCATTTGTACAGGTTGAAAGGTTCACCGGATTACCAGGTAAGATGAATACATTTAACCTTTTAAAATCCTGTACTTCACCCTTTCACCTTCTCATCATATTTGCTTTGTCTATGTTCTGCAGCACCAAAACAACTGATGAGGGATGTGCTAGCAAGAAATACATAAGTCAGAATTTTTCTGGTGAATCTCCTCAGCTGCTGAATCTTTGTTTCTACACTGCAGCAAATTCATCCAAGGTCCGAATTTCGCAATCAGCTGTTGTGTATTAAATGTCCATTTTCTCTGAATCTTAAAGTTTGTCAAGCTTATGTTAGGGTGGTAAAATGTTGTTATAGTTAGATCAATACCATGGCAATTGTTTTGTAGTATTCCCATATTCTGGAACGAAGTTCATATTGTTTAAGTTCATGTGTTGAATAAAAAAAAAAAAAAAAAGCAGCAGCACCTTTTCAAAATTTAGATAATTTACAAATGGCAAACATATTTTTTTAATCCCGTCATTCATCCTCATCTATTATGCAATATAACAGGACAGTTTAGTTATGACCTTTTGTTTCTTCTCTGGAACTCGGATATGGCTAAGCCCACTCAACAGAAGCCTAATAGCTCGCTAATGAAAAAAAGTCGTAGATAGCGAGAAGCTGCAAAGAAGGTATTAATGTATTGAAAAATGCAGTTCAATCGCCATGGATTATGGCCTACAATTCATCTTCATGTTGTACAGTCCTTATTACAAACAGCAATATACTGTTTTTAAAAGCCTTACAAGTAGAGGATACATCCTTGATTCAAAATATGGCTGGGTGCTTTTCTACAAAAGGTCTACTTCGGTCTTCTCCTACAACCCTTTTACTGATAAGATAATTCATTTGCCTCCATTACTGCAGTCAAAACTGGACCGAACAAGAGGGACATTCTCTACAACTCCGAATTCTACAGAGTGCCTGATATTTATATTCAGGCCTTGTTTCTATTCGGAACATGCTTCTTTTATCTACATTTTAAACCTGGAGAATCACAATGGACCGAGTTCAAGATAATTTGTTCATAGGGAAACTTAATTCACCAGGTAGAATTTGTAGATGGAGTGTTATACTATACTTTCGTCACAGCGATGTGTGCCTTCAACGCTAAAACAAAAAACCTGGAATACTGTTGCATGTCCGTGTCCTCTGTAAGCGTTTCAGATAAGAAAATAAGGAAATTATCCCAACGGCGAAAATAAGTAATTATCCCAGTGACACATTGGAGCAAAAAGATCGTATTATTTATGTTTTAATCGTTCTCCTATTAGAACTTGCTTATTGTCCATAATCATATCCATATTAGCAAAAGGAATTTGGAGGACAAAATCTAAATAACTCGATCAACAACCATGTTAGCAGTATTAGACATAAATCAACTAAACGTAAAAGGGATTTTATATTGGTTTTCCGATGGTAGGCTGCGTCCGGGCGAATTCATGGTCCGATCTTCCTGATGATATCATAATTTCTCTCCTTAGCCTTCCTAATTCTGCCCATCACATACGGTTCCAGTCGGAATTGGCGAAGAGCTGCAAGGAATAATCATGTGAAACAGGCAGATAATATGCCTTGGATTACAGCCTACAATTCGACTTCTTGTTTCCCATATGATCTTAACAACAAATGAAGCTACACAGTTTATAATCGTGGTACAAGGAAAGAAGAAATTTTTAGTTGGGAAAAAGCAGTGCTTGACTCAAAATATAGCTGGGTGCTTTTTTCGCAAAAAGTATTCTCGATATTTTTCTTCAATCGTTTTATTTATAAAAATAATATATTACCGATATTGAAAACCACACTCCTAACACTAAGGGGTTGGCCTAACAGTAAAGGAGGTTTTTTTTTTTTTTTTTTTTTTTGAATTATTGGGTTCAAACCTTGAGGTCACTTACCACAGTAACATTATGGCTTACTTGGTTATTTGGGTTTCCAAGAGACTTTAACCTCTATATTAAAACCTGGATTGGGACCTGACAACCTCTCCAGTCTGGTTTAGGTTGCAGATGGGTTTTGGATATTTTTCAAACTGGTAGGGACTACTTTATAATTTTTTGGGGGTATTTGAAATATATAAAAATATAGGGATTAATTAATTGTTTTGGGGGCATTTTGAATAAATTAAATTTTTATGGCCTAATTTGCAATTTTTAGGGGTATTTTGTAATACACTAGAATTCAAGGGGCTAATTGTATTTTAAAAATATTTTTTATTGCAAACATCGTCGGCCTAATCAGTCGGTCCAACCAGTTGGACCGGTCGACCCTTGACTCAGTCACCTTGCCGGGTCTCACAACGGGTCTAGTTTTGAAACAATAGTGATAAGTGAAGTGGATAGCTTTGTGTAAATTAGAGGAAATTAAACCCACCACCCCCGGTATATTAGAATAAATCTTTTCTAGTCTCATCTTACCCACCCACAAAAACCTAGATTTTAACTCTTGAGAATGTAAATTTTTTTGGTTCATGAGCTTTTCAATCTCTTCAAGGGTTAATTTTTAATTTTTTTTTTTTTTTTGTTTAAAAAGAATCTTTTTTTTTTTAATTGTTATCAATTATAACTTTTTTGGTCGATTACCCTAACTGTTTAACTTAAAACTAAATGTAAATGGCTTGATAAACGACAAGCGGTTCAAAGCTATTTCCAAAAGAATAAAGATAGGTTGACAAACACTTCTCACAACTTTCTCTCACAAACGCTGACATGATAGCTCGTAATTGGTTAGTTCGCATTTGGTCAGGCGGAACTCATAGCGAGCTAACCAATTATGAGCTGACATGTCGCATTTGTGAGAGAAAGTTAGTGAGTGTAGTATTTCTGTTTCCAAAATGATAGCGGGTGTATTTATTTAAGGTATACCTTAGGGCATTTAGAGCAATTTCCTTTTTAAGTTTAAGTAATAATCTTTAATTATTATTATTGATATTATGTGTTAGATTTTAAAATAATTACTTAACAAATGTCAATTCTCTCTACTAATAAAAGATTTTATGTTGTAACTTACACCTCTTTTTAATAGAAATTAAAATTAATAATTTATATAATTATGAACTAATAATCTACTTAATAATTATTATTATCTTTCCCNTTTAAATAAATTTCAATATAAAGTAAATATTTTTGAAATTTCTTAAACTTTTTGTGTTATACAAATGAAATTCGATTATTATCAAAACCCTTGAGATTTGGTTAAATATATAAACCCTTCGGGTGCTTTGGTTTAAGGAATATTGTATTATTGAGAATATTATATTAATGGGAAGATAGATTACCTTAAAGATTACTTGAAGATTGCGTTTGGTTAAGGGTCTAGGAAGATTACCTTGGTAATCTATCTTTGATTATGGACATTCCCTTGTTCAATTGTCAAGTAATAAAAGATTTTGGTAATCTTTCAATACCAATAGTGATTACTGTAGATAATATAAGAGATAATTAAATTACCAATTTAGGGGGTGTTATTCTTTTATTATTGGGGTAATCCAAATTTTGTTCCCGTTTTACCCTTAATTAATAAACATTTTGGACACAGAAGCCCTCATATGTCTATCAAATAACAATTACCCAAAAACCCTTACATTTGAGAATTTACCTAAAACACCACACACAATAAAAGTTTAAAATTTAACAAAATATCCCCAACCATCCGAGACGACTATAGGCCACCATCATTGGCCAGTGTTGGCAGTTGTCGAAACGACGCACGATCAGTTAGATATGGTCGGCCATGCGCCAATAATGCCATTTTCGATCAGATTGAAGGTTGGAAATGACTAGATGGCCTTCGATCTAGTTGTTTCCAACAAGATTGGCACATGGTCGGCCAGTTCAGTCGATCGTGCACCGTTTTGGTGACTTCCTCTGGCGGTCGGCAATCATCTTGGGTGGTTGGGGGTATTTTGTTAAATTTTAAAAATATATTGTGTGTGGGGGGTGTTTTAGCTAAATTTTCAAATATAAGGGGTTAATTAGTACTCTAAATAATAATAATATTAAAAATGAAGGGCAATTTAGTAAAGACTCCTCTCGATAATTTTTTATTTCTCCCAGCTAAACATATTAATTATTTATACCAACCAATCTAACCAAACATATTAATATCCCTAATAATCTTCAAGGTAATCCATCTCACTGGTAATCCTATCTTTTCAATAATAAACATTGCCAAAACCAAAATGTTAGATTAAAGGTGTTTGGTTAAATTGGAATAAATTGGTGGATATGTTATATAAATTATCGAATTACCTTTCTTTTTTAATATTATTATTATTAATTGGATTATTTCTTTAACCCCTTACATTTGAGATTTTGTTAAAACACCCAAGCTACAATAAAAGTTTAAATTTTAACAAAAATACCCCCACCCACCCAAGCCACTATCAACTATCAACAGTCGCCAGAACAGCGCACGACCGGTTTTCACTAATCTGACCGTTTTCGGCCAAATTAATGACCGGAAATAGTCAAATGACCATGGATCTAGCTGAAATGGTCAGATCTAAGCAATATTCTAATGAAAATATTCTAACGTTAAGGGGTTTCATATTATTATTGATATCTGAATGGGACAAACCTCGGATAGTTTAAATAATAATCCTTATTTTTAATTTTGAAGGAGCAATTGTCTAATTAAACACATATATCGGAATTTAATTTAAAAAAATAAATAAACAAATCAGTTTGCAAGTCTATACACTAATAAAAAGATCATAACTTGTTATTTAAATGGGAAATAAAACATGGTGATATGATTCATATATAAACTTTCTTCTTTTTTATCTTGTTGACTGTTACTTTACGTAGACTCCCATATTTAAAAAATAAAAGAAAAAAAAAAGATTGAAAATTGTAGAAAGCTTATTTCATAAAATATGACCTACCTATTAACTTAAACAAATTGGGTTAAAATTTGTAGTTATACTGGCTTCGTTTGGTTCAAGATTGGGAATACTACTCTTAGTATTCCCAAAAAAGTTAAACAGTAAAATACCCAAAAACTCTGATTTTTTGGAATACTATTTTCAATATTATTCAATTTTTTTTAAACCCTCTAAATTTGTTAATTTAATTAAATACCCCTAAATATTTTTTTTAAAATTATAAAAACACTCCAATAATCCACATTTACCAGATTCCGGCCACCACCGCCGGAAAATGGCCAGAATCTGGTAGGATGGCGCACTACCGACTGAATCTGGCCGGTAGTGCGCCGATCTAGCCTTTTCCGGCCAGATCCACGGTGGATCTGGCCGAAAAAGGCCAGATCTAAGGCCAAAGATCTGGCCGTAACAGTCGGTCACGACGGCTAAACAAACGGTCGTCGTTGACCATCAACGACGACCGTTTGTTGGCCGTCGTTGAGAGCAAATACGACCAGATCTGG